GAGGAGAGGGGAAAACAGGGGATCAAACTGCACACACAAAACAATTTTTCTTTTTATTATGAAAACAAAACAAATGCCCCAGGACCAGAGTCCATGATTACCAGTAACATCAAAGATTACTTTCTAACTCTTTTTTTTAATTCTGTTGTGTTTGAGGCCAGCAATTTGCAATAAACAAGCTAAACTACTTACATTGACTCATTTCTTTTCAGTAACTGACATTTACAGGAATATACTAGAAATGGCACTAAAAAGTTTTAAGAAAAAGAGTTACGGTAAATTTGCATGCACATCATACAGAAAAGTAACATTTTTTTAAATATTTAAAAAAAAAACCCAAAACAGAAACAAAAATACAACAAATCTTTCTGGATTGGTTATGCCAGTATCAGGGGTAAGTTGTAAGTGGCCTGTGTCAAATCCTAGCCGATGGTTTATTCATTTTTAAAAATTACATTTAAAAAGATATGCAAATACCATTTCTTTAAAAAAATGCATCTCATTGTTTTACAAGCAAGATAATGCTGCTAGTGTAATGAATCCTCACCTTAAACTGATCTCCAGCAATGCAGAGCCTGCCCGCAGTTAGCCCTAGCGGTAACTGCTCATGTTTGAGAATACGTCTTCTTTAAAATCCAGTACTAAAAAGGTTGTGGTTTTTCTTTGTCATGCCCCGATCCCTTCCCTTTAGCTCCAACCCCAGCTTTAAAAAACATCATTCCTTTCAAAACAAGGAAAAAATTAAAAACTGGTCTAAGAGTCCCCGAAACAGAGAAAGAACTAGATTAGGTAACTGCAGTCTGCTTCTACCACATAGAAACATGGAGAGACCTCACTGAGTAACTACTGAGTACATCTACATGTGTGTGTCTGCGTGCAGGTGTGCATCTACCACACACACACAAACAACAGTTACATAGTCCTGAAAGATCAGTTCTACAGTTACAAACCCTGTCGGTAGGAAAGTTTAAAATCACATCAATATAAAACCAAAATGATTTTGTATAGACAACATTTGGTTAGAAGAAAACTGTCGTACGCAACAGATTCCTTTAGGAGATGGATCCCACTCTGGTCCCACTGAGCCTACATCTGATGGTACGGTAAGAAACAGGCTGTCCTTACAATCAAAGTTTAACAAGGTTTTTAAAGGTGCAGTAATGCTGGTTGATTGAGAACAGGTCTGGTCAGATATTGTTTTGTCAAAACAGGAATTCGTCAGAAAAAACAGTTTCAATAAAACTATCTGTGTGTATGTATACATAAGAAATCATACTGATTTCAGTGACGTTTCCCCTGGAAAACAAAGTTAAACTTTGTTCATTCAAGAAAAATTCTACCATAAAAATCTTAATCTTTTTTTATTCTTAAGTCTAAAAATGTTATTTCAAATGTTAAATGTTTTATTTTTTTTAAAGTTACTTCATGACATCTGTACTGACGTGTTATGCAAAACAAACTCAGTTAAATAAATGCTCTATTATTTCAGTTTCCAATTAAGGGCTGCTGCTACTTACTATGGACTGAAAACACCTCTTCTTTCCTGGAGACACTCTGACAGGAGATACAAGAAGCACCACTACTGACATGTCAGGAGGTAATGAGCACTACAAGCAATATGAAAATGAAAAAAAGTGTAAGAAGAACATTTTGAAATGAGGAGTCACCAATTTCTTTCCTGAAATTAAAGTCATGCCAAAATGGGTTTCTCCTGTGAGCTGCCATTTCATAGGGAACATCTTACTTTCCACGAAAACAAATCTTCCCACTAAACAGTAGCCCAAGTCGCAGCTGGGTGTATCAAAGGTATGCAGGTGGTTCTTCACGTTCCTTGGAGGCTTTGGTTCTTGTTTTCCTTGCAAATCCCCAAGCTAGGACAGGTTTGCCAACTAAAACAGGGATCCTTCTTCAGCGCCGCAGTCTCAGGCCCCTTTCCATCACTCCATGCTTGGTTCCCAACTTCTTGACTCCAACCTTTTCGCAGATTTCGGTGGGACAGACCTGTGTGTCCCAGAGGAGCAGCTGTGCCCTGAGCATGGTCAGCAGCGTTGCTCCCGACATCGGAGGATGGAGACACGGTGCACAGCAAGGTCCTTGGGCTTTGCATGGCGACAAGAGCAGGAGCCACAGGGCCAACCACCGCGTTACATCAACGGCACAGCTCAGGTTAACACACACGGGAAAAGGTTTCAAAAGCACAGAAAACTGGGTGCGTGTTTATCCAAGCTGTCACGGGATTGGATTGGTTGCAACTATTTTAATTAAAATTGGTTTTGATAATGTTCAGACAATAGGAGAAACACAGATGAAACCAAATCCCATTAAAAAACCCCTAAGCTCTTAATTAGGTGTATAATACATTTCCTCATAGTAAATTCTGAAAATATTTTACTAAGGATCTGTCTAGGTGAAGAGTTTTTTAAGGGCAGAATTAAAAAAATAAAGGAACCAAAAATAACTCCATTGTTAATGGAAAAGAAAAATCATTCATTTCAGTCAGAATCACCTTAGTTCATCTACTTTCAAATACTACGGGAATCTCTGCAACAGGCCAAGCCCCCTGGTGAGTGCAAAATGAGCCAAGGATGCCCAGCACCTCACAGCAACCCAGCATTGTGCTCTCAGCCCTTAGCAAAAAATAGGATTTCTTTTCTACAGCAAACTGTGGAGTGTGTTATTGTCACTACAGATGAGACACAGACAGGCACACCAGCTGTACGAGACGTACATCAGAACACTGAAATGCTCATCTTCGAAAGACAGATTTGTAAAGACAGATGCCTAAGTGTGTAGCTAATAAAACCTCAGCCAGTGGGCAGTGGCTGAGTGCGGATGCAGTCAGAAGTGCAAACCATGCAGTGCTGGTAACTGCTGGCCCTGCGCTTACCCAGCAAAGGGACATCACCCGGACAGCAGCCATCCCAGCACCCATCCTGTCCTGGCAATGGGAGGCTGAGCGTGCCATGCAAATCATGTGCTGGGGCTGAGGAGTCCTTCAGGGCCGCTCACCTACGTGAAAAATAAAAGCTGGTGCAATTGGCACCACAGGGCCTCTGGCAAACCATTTTTAGAGACCTCAGTGGGGTGAATTTTAGGGCTACCCCACAGCAGAGGGGCAGCCTTAGGGGCTGGGGGAGGGAAAGGCATAACTTTCTGTTAAACTCTGTATATTTTTTTTCTTTACAATAAAAAGTTTAGAATTTACAATAAATTTCTGCCCCTCAGATTACAAATTTTATATAATTATAGAACTGGTATTTTCCTAAAAAAAAAAAAAAAGAGAAGGGGAGGGAAAAAGACCTCTGGAAATATTACAGAGAAAAATAATAATATGCTGCATCAAGAAAATGTTTCTACCTGTATGTCTGCCAAATCTGTACAAAACAGGAAAAAAGGGGGCTGGGGTGAAAAGATAAAGAAGGGAGAAAACAAAAGCTAAATGAACACCAGACATGACAGAGCACCAGACACACGACAGACTGGACTGTAGCACCTGTAGGTATAAAGTCCACTGGATATTTAAATAAAGTCTCAGATTTTTATTTGCCCCTTTTTTTTTTTTAATCTGGTTCAAACCTCATTAAAAGTCTCCATTTCTGCTGGTCTGCGTAACGCGGCTTGACTTCTGTTATTTTTTGTTAGGAAGTTTTAAAAGACCAATCGTGTTTAATAAATAACGTACTTGTATATATACATGAAATCAGGGACAATGAAAAGAGTGTATTGCAGCAGTGCAGGAAAAAACGTTAGGCTGGACTCGAAAAACTGCAAGCCTCAAAAAATCGTCTCGTCTCTTTTTTTTCTCCCTCTTTGCTTTTTTCCTTTAACTGAGGTAAGCATTTCAGTGTGTGGAAACCTGCACCCTGCATGACACAGAATTAGCATTCCTTTCCTAGCAGCTCACTACTGAAACAATAAGGAGAGAAAACAAAACCACCAACAAATAACAAACCCAAACAAAACACCACACACAAGGTCCCTCTCCCATTCCTCTGCCAGCTCAGCCTCAGCTGCAGCTCAAGTGCTCCTTTATTTTAAGCCCAGACTGAGGTGCTTGTCATGCAGAAAGTACTTAAGCACGTGTCTAATAACAGCACATGACTCGCCTTGGTCACCCTGCAGGGATCACTCCGAGGTCCAGCTGAGAACTTCCAGCCAAAAACTGGTTTCAATTAAATGAAAGCTTTCATAGAGAGCGACCATTTCCTGGAAATTATTCTATTTGATGTTAGAAATAACACTGCCGAGAAACTCGAGTGTCCCTTGCTCCCTTCTTCCCAACGTATCCCCAAGAAAAATGAAAATTTTGAGTGGAAAACCAAAATGCAACCACTTCTATTGCTCATGTGCTTAAAGTTAAGTTCATGCTTAAATACCTTCCTGACTAGGTGCCTATGCCTCTAACAAGATTAAAAAAAAAAGCATGTTAGCAATCCACAGTACATGAGAATTTTTTTGGGTTTTTTGTTTTTATGTAAAAAGATGATAGCATCTGACATTTTCATCACACTGTAGACTTCAAGATTAAGAATACTAGTGCTAATAACAAATACACCAACTAGTTCAAAAGCTAACATCTTTCGGATACAGTACCATTTTACAGAGATTCCTTAAAAAAAAGAAAATATTTGTTTTACCTTCTGTGAGCCAGGCAGGCTTATTAAAAGAGAACATTTGGGGAGAGGGAAGGGGTGGGAGGGAAATGTACTACAAACCTTGCAGAACTTTCTCTATCTCCTGTTAAAAGCTCTTCCATTTTCAACCAATCATCTTCAGTTAAAACGTATTTTAGAGACTTTATGCAAGGGGAACTATTTGTCATAAAGTCTAGTCACACACACACACGCACACATAAAGATCTTTGACCTATTAAAAGAGCGCCCCCCAGAAAAATGGAAGATACCTTTTATAACACTGAATTAAAAAATAAAATAAAGTCAGAAAGAGAGAGAGGAAAAAAAAACCTGACCACCGTGAAACAAAAGCAGTATATTAAGGAGAGAAAGGAACACTGCAGAGCATCGGTAAGGGTGATGTCCATTTTGTGTTTTGTGTAAGTGTCCGTAACTCATTCCGAATCGCTGCTGTCTGAGCTGGAGCCACTGGAGCTGCTGCTCCCAGACTCGGAGGAGCTGCTGCTGCTGAGCCGGGAAGGGCCTCCGGAGGGAGCTGAGCCAGATTTCTCTGCGGGAAGAAGGCAGAGATGTGGTTACTTGCAAGGAACTGAACGAGAGAAGGTTTGCCCAGAGCATTCACCCTCTACGGGAGGACAGTGTCCTCCACAGCCCTGTGGTGCTCATGGTGAGAGCGCAGAGCACCTGCGGAGTGGTGTCCACAGCCTTGCATGCTTCAGTGCAACCTCTGAACCCAAGAAAACCCTGCCTGGCTTGTGCGAAGTCAGAAGCAGCTTAGTTCACATTGGAAGAACCTTCTGTACCATCTTTCACACTATCACACTATGTGGAGACTTGGGTTTTTTTTAATCCCACAATGGAGAAAACCCAACCGTTAGATGCTCTGCAGCACTGGTCTGTACATGCAGTCCTGCACAGGCTAACACAGAGAGAATCCTCCTCCCTCTGAGGGATGAATTGCATCCAAGACACCTCACATTTAGAACCCAGGAGAGCTTCCACCTGGACAGTGACCAAAGCAGCGCCCACACAGCAGCTCAGTGCCCAGCAGTAACTTGCTCTGTCCCAACACCAGTGACCAACTGGGATAGCCATCACAGAGATAAACCCAAAGCTACAAGAAGGCAGCAGCCTTGCCTCAGTGAGGAAGCCTCTCCACATACGCAACTTTTTAGGCATTTTTGGGACAGTAAAACCAAAGCCATTACCTTTCTTTGCAGGCTTCTTGTTGTTGTTTAGCTGCCCACTGACGTCCTGTAACCGTTTTTCTAGTTCTTTCTTCTTTTCCTGAGCTAACTCCTCTTTTGACTTCGCTGCTTGCTTTTTTCCACTTGCAGCTGTGGAGGAGGAACGCACAGTTTCTGAAACTGCATGGTTACAGGCAAAAAAAGAGTGGACATCACTATTTTACAGGGCATGTAAATCTGTGCGACCGCTCTGCAGTAACACTGCTAAAATCAAGTGACCACACAGCAACTACACATCCCAGATAGAGGACAACACGTGAAGTTGTCTAGATAATCCAATCACCATCATCCTGTAACATGCACTTTTTAAGAGACCTGGAAAGTATTTCAGAAGACAGAAATAGCCATGTAATAACCTTGCAGTTACAGGTTACTTACCAGCCAGTTAAATGGTCAATAGCTACACATTTGTAATTACAGAATTGTTAACATGGGTTTTCTGCCCTGTAAAATAAAGTGTCCCATTAAAGGTTGTCAGAAGTAAGTATCTGCTATTAAAACTTAAGATACCTCACACAAGAATCTGCTGTGTTTTATGTTGCTTTAAATATAAAATGAAACACAAAAGGACAAGGTAAAAACCAACCAAGGCAAAAGCTGACAGACAACAGGAATGTAACTGCATCAGTTCGGATGGAAATGATGAGAAGTACCTGCAACACTTATATTTCTGAGCAGAAGAAAGATCCCTCTGAAGAAGGAGTAATTGAATACAGGTGTTGGCCAGTATCAGAAGCACAAAACAGGAGCCAGACATTTTGCCCAATCCAGCAAGGAAATACCTACATTTCTGTGTGCTGCTTTAAAGCAATCATTTAAAAAAGGAAATCTGGAAAGCAGAGACCTAAGAGGGTGCGTCTCTGAAAACCAAGCATTGCAATCAAGAGCAGACAGCATGAGAGTCCAGCTGGGGTCAGGCCTGCCAGCCCAGGGGGTACCGGTCTCAGAGGAGCAGACGTACGGACATCTGAGGTTATCGGCATTGGTTCCAAAACAAAAGGATGCTGCTTGTTCCTAAGCACTCTGCAAAATCTTTTCCTGAGTTATTCCAACAGTGAAGGACTCAGGAGAAACAAACAAAAAAAATCAGAGCAGTGTATTAAAAAGCAAAAAGAAAGGACAAAGTCTGAGCTTTGTTTAGGTCCTGTGGTGAGGAAATGGAGGTGCTCTGCAAGAGTCGCAGGTAGCTATTTTGTTATACTCTTAACAGGACAACTCCCTCTTAACTGACAAGCAGACGGACAGAACCAGGACCATTTCAGGTAAGTGACCCTATTGCTATTCATCTGGAGCTAAACTCTCAAGGAGCCGTAACAACTCACTCTGTGGATGAGGCAGAGAGAAGTCTGTACCATACTGTACTGTACATCTGGCGGCACATTAACATTAATCCTCTGACCTGATAAGAGACTGAGGGTAAAATGGTGATCACACCATGTAGGAAGAGCAGTTTTGGGGTGAATGTACAACTTGGACACTTACACCCAGAATCCACCGGTTGCCCAGGTGACTGTGTGCAAGTCATTTATTACCTTGGTGTTTTGCATCCCAACCATACTTTTTGTTTCCTTCCTAATCAGATGCTAAACTATTCAGGATAAGAAACCGATCCTTCCACATGTGTGCACATAACACCTACCACAATGAGACTGAAACCTTTATAGCACCTTCTAGATTCTAGATAAGTAATACTGGTAGCACACGGGTCTTGTAGAGGAACACAGTAGTTCTCCAGGTCTCCATAGCATGACATCACGGGAAGAAAGAACAGAAAAAAAATAGAAAGTTTCTGTACATCATCTTGGGAGAGCTGAATCTCTCAAAATCCCTGTCATCACACACCAAACAGCTGGATAAGAGAAACCCTACACACATCCCCTGACTCCAAAGCTGAGCCCAAGAGCCAGTGGGGGAACGCATGCCCCAGAAGGTAACTTACAAAATGGTTTCCTTTGTTTTTTCTGTAAACAAGATTTCACGTATCTCTCCAGTTCTCGTAAAGTTGTGGGCTTCAGTGTTTCAAAATCTATTTCTATCTCATCTGGATTGGAGTCTCTGAGGGAAGGTTCCCGTGACTGGATGATGTGCACCACCCTGCCCAGCTTCTCCCCGGGCAGGCGGTTGATGTCCAAGCTGAGTTGTCGTTTCTCATCATAGGTCATGGGCAGACCTTCCTCCTCCTCGTCCGAATCGTAGGTTGCAGATGCCTGCTTGCCTCCTTTCTTGGGCTGCCTGGAGGGGTCGACAAGTATGGAAACATTCAGGGGTATATAGAAGCAATGAATTCTTTTTTCCTGCCCCCTCTCGTAACAAACATCTCAATGCTCTGGGCTTTGAACCTCAGGCCAAATGAGCTTGAACAGCACCGCAACTTCTGAAACAGTTCAGAAATCTGAGATCAGCTGTTCTGCTCCTATTATATTTTAGCCCTGTGTGGCACGACACCAAGCCCATGTAGCAGCAGGGGGGGCAGCAATGAAATGGCACGTTCTTGCTGGCTGCGCAAAAGGCAAAAAGCAAAACCTTATCTGAGAGTGATCAGGCAGGGATTCTGACAGAGCTGGACAGTGGAAATACAATGGTTTCCCATGGTTCCACTGCCAGCTCTAACTTAAAGACTCCCTGGAATTGTCTGGGAATGGGAACACTATTCGAAACAACTCCTCTGACAACTGAGCTTC